ACTGTCCTAGGAGGAGCGTGGGGAAATATCGACTGTGATCTTGTAGGGTCTTCAATTGTTATGCGATTTGGGGATTTTAAGGAGAAAAAACTGTCGTTCATGGGAGAAAAGATACGCGAAATAGGAGCCTCATGCTGATGAAGATGTTAAGGCGGGACAGGGGAGCCCGTCACAGATAGCGGCCGTACAGTTATGGGACCACGGTGGTTTGAATAAATGACCTCTTAAGTTTGTAGTTGATGCTAACTGAAAGAAGTCGCCATGTAAAAGACAGCAGTCTTGACAGCGCATTATACTAAATGCTTGTATCAGATCACCACACAGCTGCATATAAATTAGGGGATTTAAGCCGAGATAAGTTAAACGTGTTTCATAGGGTAATGAGCCCTGTCCGGTCACAAGATTCGTTGCACATTTTTGAACCTTCTCGAGGGAATTGAGGTCTTTCGCGGTCCAGGATCTCCATGCTTGGATAGCGAAGTCCAGTTCCGGCCGCACAAATGTTCCAAAGACCGCGAAGCAGTCTCTACCAAAGGCACAGAAAACCCGTTTGATAAGATGCAGGACGGATATCAGAGACTTGGCCTCTTTTGCACAATGCAGCGAGGGGTTAAGTGACGTCGTGATCCCCAATCCGAAATCATTCTCTGCGTCTACATTTTGCAGTTAGATGCCATTCAGGCTGTAAACCATGGGATTCTGAGAGCTGAGCCGACCAACTCGTAGGATACTGCACTCGTTCTCATCAAACGGCAAAAAGCCAGTTTGTCAGCTGCACTTCTGATGACGTTCCAAATCTTAATATCATCGGCAAACATAGCGATAACACAAAACAGTTCACGGACGCAGTCGTTGACGTACATAGTGAACGGTATAGGGCCAAGGACAGAGCCCTGGAGAACACCGCTCTCGACCGCAACCTCTACCGACTGCTGGTCACCGAGATGGACAGGTTGAGAGCGGCAAAATAGGAAGATTCGAGTCCACTTCAGGAGATTTCCTCTAACGCCTATTTGACTGAGATTGTGCAGAAGTCGTTAAAGTAGGACACGATCGAAGGCATTCTTGAAGTCACTATTGACTAAATGAAGCGGATTTTATCCATCAACCGCTCGGATCCAACGTTCCAAACAATAGAGCAAGTTCTTCACGCAGGACCTGCCTCTCCGATATCCATGCTGCGAATCTGATAGTCGGTTATGCTGCTATAGGAAACCCATCAGTTCTCGCTTTACTACTTTCTCCATAATTTTTCAAATGATCGAAGAAAGGCTGATTGTTCCATAATCATTTGCGGAAACCGTTCTGCTGCCTTTATATAACAGTGTGATTCGTGCAGATTTCCAATTGGGGGGTAAACAACCAGTTTCAAAAGAGATGTTGAAAAGCATAGAAAGCGGTTTAACTAGCTCCTCAGCAAGTTCTTTCAGTAATTTGGGTGGAATATCATCGGGTGATTCCGAGTCATTTAGTGTCAACAACTTCTGACGAACAGTCGCTTCGGCAAAAGATACATAATCAATCTTTTGACCGTCCTGTAAACCAAAGTTGGAAGGGATGAATTCGCTTTCAATCGTAAAGATCGATCTGAAAAATTGTGAGAGATGCTCAGCTTTTCTCCACCTTCATTATTTTCTGTTTCGTCGTTTACCTTTAGAAGGGAAACTGGGTTCCTGTTTCGTGTGTTCATTCTTAAGCAGCCATAAAATAACTTAGGATTCGTAACTGAATTATTCAGTTAATCTTTTTCAAAAGCTTGGCGTATCCTGCAGATAAGTCGCTTCACGAGGCCCCTCTGCACTTTGTATGCATTAATGGATATGGGATTTTTATCTGCGAGAGATTTCATTCGAAACCTCCCATTTTGTTAACCTCTTTCTCTAACACTTGTGTCAGCCGCTGGGGTTTGTTGTTTAGCTTCTTCGGTAAAATGTATATATGTATATTCGAAGAGTTACAGGCAAGGAATACCCTTAAGAACCCTATTCATGTAAAGCAAGCCATATCATTCTTACAGTTAATATAAAGTTGTAGAAAGACATATCATACCATGACAGACTTTCGAATGAATCTCCACGGAGCAGTATGGAAAAAATCTAGAGCCAGAAAAATTGTTTACAATGCTGGTAATAGGAAATTGTTTTGTAAAAGTCACCTTTTGTCAAAAAGAATGACATCAAGTCTCCTTTTAAACTCCGCAATTGTGTCAGCGGAAACCGTCTCGCTTCGTAGCAAGTTCCAAGGTCGGACCACGCGTTGGTCTCCGCAATTGTGTCAGCGGAAACCGTCTCGCTTGGTAGCAAGTTCCAATGTCGGACCACGCGTTGACCAAGAAATATTTTCGGAGGTCCAATCGAGTGCGTTCGTTTGTGACCTTGTAAGGATGGTCACAGAGGTGATTTGTGTTGGATAATTCAAGAAATTCTCCAATTTCAGGGAGGAACTGTGGCTCCGGATTATCCGGAATGTCCAGAGAAGGCTGCAGTGAACGTTCCTGTAAGACCAGGGAAAAGTTCAAGCTTGATCAATCTCTTCTCATATGGTAAGTCCCAGAGACCATCGACCATCTTTGTCGCCCTGCGTTGCACT